AAGAAACACTTTTTTATTTATTTAGTCTTCTACATTAAATCTTTCATTTTAACTAACAATTTGTACGCTGTTACGAATGCGCTTTAATGAATGGGTGGTTAGAATAAAATATTCCCATTATATTTTATCTAGATTTATATTGTTGTTCAAAGTTCTTACTAATGTTGTTTTCAATTGTTTTATATTAAGGAGTGCTTGGAAATGTTCCATCTTAAAATGGGTTCGCTGGGACGGCCCTGGCAAGTAAGCAAGGGTAGCAAGGCGAGCAGCCCCTTGCAATGTCAATGTCAATGTCATTTGTCATTTTAGATATGATGATTTTTGCTGCTATGCTAATGAAATTTTTTGTATGCTAATGATATTTCAAAAACTTACGTTTTAAAAAAACGATTTTATAACGCTTCAAGACATTGATACTTTTGTTTGAATTGGTTTTTATTTTCAACCATGGATATAATCAATTCTAAAATTTTATCATTCAACAGTTTATAATTGTTTCAGTTTAATAAACTAACAATTACTCAATAAATTGTTATTTTCATGCTGAAATTATTAGTTCCGATTGAAAAACATTTTGGCAGAGACAATTGCTTAAGATAATTTAGCATTGTGTGAGGCGTACCGGCAAACAGATCTAACGAGGTGTAAACTGTCATGCTGCTACTCGCGATAATGATAAGAAACCGATTCGACGGAGCTAATATTTTACATAAAGCAAGTAAAACATCCTCATCTGTACCGTTAGCTTTCTTCCAGAAGGTAGGATCCAACCTGATCAACGTCAGCATGTACTAATTGCAATTTCACACGCCCCGACTGCTAAACATTCCGAGTCGGATTGTGACATCACTAAACGGATCTTGTTGAGGTTTTAATTGGTTCCAATTTGAGAAGACGAGCAAATGTCATCTGTTCGGTGTCAGGGAAATGTGCAATACTTTCCAAAGTTAATAAATGGTATTCATTGCTAATGAAATCCATTAACAAGAAATGAATAAATATACTGAGCACTGGTTAAGAAGTTGTCAACCAACAACTTACCTGTGAATGTGCAAGACGATAAAGGCATGTTTCAGTGCGCTTCTTTGATGCGTAATTTGGTTCAGTGGTACGTTTAAAAGTTTTCGGAACTATGAAATTATTCAAGACGAGTTATTATCATAGCTCAATCGTTTTCAATTTAGAAATATATTATAATTAAATTAAATTAAATACAAACACATATTTGCACTGAAAGGCAGGTTTAGCCAAATGTGACCAACATTGAGCTGATTTTTATCTCACCTCAAAAACGGTCTTTTACGTTGAAAACATTTAAAAAGTTTTACTGACTTTGGATATAAATTCTGCTCTTTGACCCTTTCACCAACTGCACATATAAATATGCACACATACTTGAATTCATATATACATTAATTTTTTTTATCAATTTCTTTTCTGTATTTCTTTATTTAATTTATTTTTTTGACTAGAAAACTTATAAAAA